GACCTTGTTTCTACACAGGCGATTCTAATATGCGAATCACCTTGAAGATAAAGTTGCCCCTTAGCTGAGATGCGAAAGTAAACTCCGGGAGAATACCAGAGAAAAACATTAGAACCTGTTATTTTCTAAACATTATCGAGTGAACGTCAGAACGCAAAATATTGCGAAAAACCAAGCTGATCAATAGGCCACGCCATAGTTNTAATAATAATAAAAACAACAACAACAATAATAATAATAATAATAATAATAATACTGATCGATGAGTAACTTTATAACGATGACGTGACAATCAACTTCACTATCTGATCATGAACACTGAGAAGGATTTTATACAAAATATGTTATGTAATATTCTACAGGAATGAAAATATATCTGTCACATTAAGGCAACAAAGAGACACAGGATATTTGAGGACAGGGTGCGGAGGAGAATGCTTGAACCTGAGACTAATAGTGTAATAGGAGGCTGGAGAAAATTACAGAATAGGGTGATCCTCGAATAGTACTCTTTTCCAAATATTATTTCGTTTACCAAGTAAAGCAGAGGAGATGGGAGGAGTATGTAACACGAAAGGAAAAATTGAACAAAATATTTTGGACTGGATTCATCTGGCTCAGATTGGGGATCAGTTCAGGGTTTTTATGAATATAGCAATGAACCTTCGCTTTCCATAAATTACTGGTAGTATCTCAGTAATTATTAGCTTCTTAAGGAGGACAATGCTGTCTAAAATTATTCAGAATTAGAATGTGTGACTTAATAGTACGTAGAAAATTAAACAGCAATTAAGTATTTATATTTCATAGAAGCCACTGGCGGTTAAACGTAAGTGAATAGTCGGAGAGAATGAAGAAGGAATCAGTCGTGGCCTGTTTTACATTAGTATTCCAGATTGTATTAAAGGACTGAGAAGAACTGCAGACATCTTAAAAGTTTGGGCACTGGTCAAGATATGATCCCAGGATTTTTCGAATACGAATTGGGGACTATCCATTCAGCCGCGATATAAAATTGTTCTCACAGAAATAACTTTGAGTAGTGTAGATTCAATTAAAATGCTCCAGTTCTAGTCCATTTGATGGGTACTGGATCAGGGGCGTTACATTTCAGATAAATTAATGCAAAAATACCTCAACAACAGGCACATTAAACAAGACAAGAGGTAGACAAATGGCTGGGTAGATAAATAATTAAGCAAATATTTGCCATGCACTACAGGGCCTGTAATATCATCCAATTATAACACAGTTTGCACAAATGTGCTTTGCAAAGGGAATGAATAATTTTTAGAACTAAGCTCCGTTGCATGACTGTGTGAGAGATCGCCTGCAGTTTATGTTCCCCGCTAGCTTCTCGTCACGAAGGGTGGCCTGCAGGGAGACGGACGTAAATTTGACGTCTGATGTCACGCTGTATTAACCCCTACCGAGAAGAAAATATCTTCTAAAAGCGTATTCCTATTTCATGCTGTAATTGGATGCTCTAATTAAGCTTCAAACATAAAACTACACCTCCCGCGTTTCTGCTGAAATTGACTTTCCTCTCTGCATTATGGGCCAACATTATTTCTGCGCTTACAAATTAAAAGGCTGGGGGATTTCTGCATACCCCTTTCTCTTGATGTGTTAATGGGATAATATTTCAAAGAAGGCACTTCTAAAAACTTCCTTTACCTATTTCTTAGAACTGTAATTAGTACATGTGAAGTCCCATTCCTCAGTGTCATCATGTTTGCAATGCAGATATGAATCAGTTTGTAAGATTTGAGGTCTTCACGACGGTGACTATGAAGAAAGCAGTCTTCTGGGATGTGGTGCCGTGTAGATATTGTGCTAATCGACGTTTCGGAGGAAGATTTATTTCTGATATTTTTTTTTATTTACATAATATTAGCAATCAGAATTACGTTTAATTCTATAAGCTAATTTACTGTAATATTCTTCGTGACGTGGAGAGGGCTTATCCATAGTCTGATAAAAATGAGAAAGAATAGACAAATATTTTATCTTCCTGCGTTGTAAATGGTAAACCTGTCCCTGTAACAGGCCGCAAAGGCTCATAGGAATGTGAGAGATCTAGGCTCCTACATCTTCTAGATAGTCAGCTAATAGATGGCGGCGAGGTTGTCAGACTTAATCTCCGGCAGCCTTTTACTCACCAGGAATATTCCTGGTACTCATCTCTGTTAGAGGCTGAGTTGGCCCCAGGACCATAGTGCGGCTGGAAGGATTAGGTCAATTGAAAAAAGTCCAAGAACCTCATCGGGACTTGAACCCGCGACCATCCGGCTTGTAGCGTAATGTCCCAACCAAATGCTCTACGGCGTGCCCCCTTTCCTGTGTTGCACTTGTAGTGGAATTACACGATATAAAAGTCTTCTTTTTTGCTAATTCACTGATAGTTCATGACCTGTTGTGAGGACAAAGGAATTGTACCATCTTCTTCTTGGACTTCCAGTGTCCCAATTTCCTGTTGACTAGTAAATATACGCATGCTCTGGCAAAAGTTCAGGACGCTTACTTTCCACATGGTTATGCTATTTTCTTGTTTCTTGCTCGTCGTTATTTCTGTTGTACGTGTCTTCTTTCATCAGTACTTACTTTAACCTCTGTGAAATATCTGACAGTGGGTACGGGAACCTCATTCGAAAGCTTCTGTTCCCAGCATTCATCTCACTGACCACGTCTGACTGCCCTACTCTACTGCTCCTTTCGCATGTTCTTGCCACAGTGCTTTAAAATGCATTCCTTTAATTTGTGGCATTTTAAATATTTTGTTCTCAGCCCATATTCATTTTGTACAGAAATATATTTGTCAAAAGTATTTAAACGTGTTTTTCAATTACATGGCAGGCTAGAACCAAATTAGCCCTTCTAATTATTTCTCTTTGAATTTCTATACCTCCAGTTTTATTAGTTTGTATTTTATTTGCATAATTTTAATATTTTGTTTAATTTTGTGACGATTCATTTTAAGTGATCTGTGTGAACCAGATGTACATAATTTTCTGAAAAAATTATTCCATTATAAAAGGCGTTTTGTAGCTTCATTTCTTGTTGTGTTTCCGATTGTATCAGCACAACTTCTGCACATTCTTAGAACACAATGGAGTATACCACATTCCTTGGAAAACACGAAACATTAGGCTTTTTCGGGCACGTAAGTGATATAAGTATAATGGACTACTGAAAATTTCTAGCATGAACCACGAACTACAGGAATTTACAAATATAAATCCAAATTACAAATTTTTATATAAAAAATAACATATTTCCTAGAATATCAAAGTACCAAGAGCAGAAAACTATTTATTATATAGTTCAGTCTTTAAACCAACAGAGACAAACTTTATAATACATAACACATTCTACCACCCTACAGAATTCCATGTGTCAGCTGTCAACTACACGATAAAGAGACCAAAAACACCCCAGGAACCAAAATAATAAGGACACAGAAAGATACAAAATAACGTATATATTACGACAAAACTAGAATCAAATAAATGAATTAATAAAATACAAACTACACAATAAAATACTTAAAAAACAATAACACAGCGAAGTAAATAGCCAAAATAGGAAATGGATTACTTTTTACGGGTTTCGTACATGAAACGATATATCACCAGAAGTATTCATGGAAACTGGTATAAGAAGGTCCTTAGATCGAACAATACCACAACAGAAATACCAAAGAAGAACAATTGCGGTTAAAGTGATGTATGCAAACCCAAACGTATGGACTGACCGCTGCAACATGGAGGTCAGAGAGAAAGTTCTCGTCAGAAACGACAAAACAAACCCATATAAGAAAATATATGTAACAAGGAAAACCCACTTAAGCACAGCACATGTTAAATACCGAACACAGTTAGGGTCATACAAAATAGAATGGAAATATTTGAAGTAGCTAAAAAGTGTCACCTTTACTCTATATACCAATAAAATAAATAGACAAATGAAGTACTAGCTACACAATTAGCAGCTTCTCACGAAGGTTTCATCATCATGAGTGAGTGAATGAAATACTAACTCATGATACTAACCCCATGTATGATGTCATGTGTAAAAATATATAAAATGAAGCTACAAAACGATATGTTCACTGGCTCTTCAGAGCATTGAGGGTCCAGGCCTCTTATTCAGTTCGTAATCATTTTACACAGACGATAGGACTGCTTGGACGGGTGGCCATCCCGTCGCAAGGTCACTACCTAAACACAGGACAACACAAACACAGACTAAACGCATACACACACCAAACATCCATGCTCTGAATGGGATTCAAACCCACGATTCCAGCGTCCGAGCGAGCGGAGACAGTCCATGCTTTAGACCGCGTGGCTCTGCATACCAGTATATACCAACAACACACTACAACATCGCTGTATACAGTGCAGCACAACAGAAACGTAGACTTAAAACAACAAATAAAAGTCCACTCAACCACCTTGTGCTCGCCAACACAAGGTAGAAATGAAATTATATGAAACACTAGTTCAAAGTAAGAATGTCAACACATTTAGTTAGTTAGTTATTTAAGAGGGTGGGTTTCCCCATGCACTTAGACCAGTATTGGTCCATTGTGCTTCCCTCTATGATATTCTACCAGTCTCTATACCCTACCGATATTGGTTCGTACCATCAGTCCCGACCGAGCCAGCGAGTTCGGCCTCTACTGGCTTGGCGGTATCTATAATGCTTCCCCAATCTATCAGAGGCGTTAAAGACTACTGTTGGGCGGGAAACGTCCTCAGTGACCTCCTTTGGAGATATGAGGTTCTTTTACGTGCCGTAAAGCTACGACACGGGGCCCACGGCTTAAAGTCCCTCCCGGAGGACTTGTTCCCTGAATTTTTCCGCCCTTAAAAATTCCACGACCTCCGCCGGGTTTGAACCCGCGTACCACGAGTCATGAGGTGGGAACGTTACCTCTAGACTACGGAGGCCGTTTTATGTCAACACATTTACTAATAATACAATGCATATTTCAGATTCACCACCACCAGAAGAAATAATAAAACAACCAGAAAGCTTTCCAGCCAGAATCACAAAACGAAACAACGGAAAACAAGACGAAAAGGTAAGGGGAAACGCTTACACAAAAATGTAATATTCAGTACTTACACAATAATAAATAATTCAAATCTCAGATCACAACAAAAATATTTTAGCATCTTGATCACATGAAAAGAAGATTGCAACAGGCACCTCGGTAAACGAAATAAACATAAGTATGGGAAGAAGAGAATCTTGACACCAAAAGGACCTTAGAAATCAACTTTCTAAATATCTTAATAAGAGGGCAATTTTATATTCATATTTTAATACTGAGGTAAATAATAGCATTACAGCCCAATGTATTGCCAGGATGTTACAGTGACTATAGAAGGCGGTTGAATAGATAATTGGATTTACTGAATACTTAACAATCGTAATAATAAGTAACTAGAGCTCTATCGCTAACTCACACACCTGCAGTTCACTACAGAATGCATTAGTTCCTTCTCATCATCTTGTGACTTCACCGGTTTTCTGGTAACGGCTTTCCACGCCGTAGGTCTTTCAGCTTCCGTGTTCCACGGAATCTCGCCCAATTTTCTCTCGCATATCCCCTAACTAATTCGGCGTTGCTACGCAACGACTATCGACAATGGAAGCACCTCCGCCTACCACGTCCCCACTACTTCAGACTGTCTCACAAGAGCCTCAGACTCGGACTGGTCTATCTGTCTGCCGACTCTCTATAGACTGGTTATCAAAAGTCAGAGTAAGAGTTAATTTATAACTGGCGGTTTACCGCGAATCAGTTCGTCTTGGCGCCAGGCTTCTTGAGAACCACGACCAGAGATTTTATTCCAAATGAACACTAGCGGTAATAGTCCTTATGTAACATCTTCTCTGACGTGAAGATGGGGTTGTCTCTCATGTAGACTGGCTGTCTTGTTTCGAATCTCAAGATGTAGTTCCCGTACGAAACCAACGGAAAATATCGTTTCCCACAGTCCCTCCACTGTTGCGTGACGTCATTGCAAAAGCGGACGTGACGTGTTCCTCTGTTATATGTAAGCGCGACCGTGGTCACGTGACCGGGTAGCCATGGAAGTACGTTTACAGAATTATTGCCACGCAACAGCCGTCTCTGCTGATTAACTATTCCGGCTCTCGGCGGACATGCCACAATATCAAAGTAAAAAAGAAACAAAAACAAAATGTACCAGTTGAAAACATTGGCACAGAAAAGGCGTGAGCAGTGGAGGCAATAGCGAATGTAGAATCACGATGATGGCCGAAAAGACGAAAGAATAGTAGACTGTTAACATATAGTGTATCTGTATAGCAGTTGTTCTGAAGAGAAAAAATACTGTCACATGTTTAGTGACTAGAGAATGGGGTTGTATTGGTAATTGAAATTTGTTGGAATCTTACAAACCGTAAGTACAAGTAATTATAGCGCTATCTCTATTCACGTCTATACAGTTACAGCACATATTAAATCTTTCCAGTCTGCTGTGTTTCCACCAGTCGTTGCTTGATCGCGGATCATAACAATCTCCTCTTCCGCTCACATTTTTTACGGCTGGTGACTTCGCTCACCTACCACTATCGTTAAGTTGTCGGCTCCGGGTCATGACTGGGTTGTCATATGATGATTTAATAGCGCTTACCAGATTTGTCGGGAGTTTTCAACCTTATTAACTCATGGCACACCGAACAAGGCGCTAAAATTGTCAAGGTGAACCATAAGTTTTTTCAAGGAAAGATTTTATTAAAAAAACACAGTCAGTGGAATCGTCCAGAAATTCAGAAATCAACTAAAATGAAATAGACATAACAGACAACAATGCATTAGTGCACACTCACCTGTAGTAACACACCCGGTCCTTGCAACAGCTGACTGAAGACTGGCACTGGTGACTGGGAAAAGGTTGAAATGTGGGGTGTGAAAGTACATTAGAGAGAAACTTTGGGATCGGGAACATTAGGGAAGGCAGTTCCTGAAATTTTACTACAATAATATATCTATTTAAATATTATTGTTTTCAAATTTATATGCCTTTTATGTGAACTATACAGTTTTCTAAAATTTGCTTTGAACAATTTTTTTTTATTCTTGATATTATTCTCGCTTCTTTGCAACCTTCTCCCAAACTCCCGTAGCACACCTGCGGGTCCCTCGCTTCACATCCTTATGCCGCGGCACACCGGTTGAATGTCGAAGCCAATATCCCACAGTTTACTCCAACTTGCTATATTCTATGCTTTTTTATAACCTAGGAATACAAGAAATAGAGGCATATCATAGTCTCTTCTTTTGTTATTTGTATTAGAAACATAAAATATAGTGAAAGAAAATATATATTATAATTAGCTGCATATATGCTCTATAAGCAGTGTGTGAGAAAATTAACGTTACTTTAGAGGTAAAGTAAAGTAAAGCTATCCCTGTAACAGGCCGTGAAGGCCCATAGGGTTGTGAGACGTTGAGGGTCCCACATTATTTAGACAATCGGCTCAAAGATGGCGGTAATGTTGTCAGCCTTACGCGCCTGCCGCTCTTTACTCCCCAGGAAAATTATTTAATTAATTCCTGGTACTCATTTCTATTAGAGGCTGAGTAAGCCCCAGGGCCTAGTGCGGCTTGAAGGATTAAGTCAACTGAAAAAAATCCAAAGACCTCATCGGGACTTGAACCCGCTACCTTCCGGCTTGTAGCATAGTCCGTCAGCCGTTTCGGTGACTTGCTATATTTCGGAGCATTTGTGAAAAATCAGTGCATGTTAGATGAGAGTGTTGGGCAAGGAATACCGTAACTCTTTGCAGCTGTTCTGTAATCTCTCTCTGGAATTCTTTCATTCGGATCTCCTAATTGAATTCTCGTTTGTGCTCATGAGGTATCGCTTTGGACTCGCAATCAGTAGGTGCCCGGTTATAATCTCTGTCGGGCCATCGACTACTGTCGCCTATTAAATAGTGTTGTGTTGACATGACTGTAATGGGTATTACCTACAGCGATTTAAACAACAGGGTGTAACAAAATATGGGTACCGTAATCGGGGTTTCTCGTGGTTTTTTCAGGCACAATAGATCACTGTGGTCGCTGTGCAAGGGCCAAGAAGGTCCACCCCTCATACATTCATACTCGTGGTTTTCTTAACTCCCTCGAGGAAAATTCCAGAAGAGAAACCGATATTAGACCGCTACCGCCTATTTCCAGATCTTTTTCAACTAATTCTTCATTATCATTCTAATGTTATACGTTGTAAAGTGTGAGTTTTTGACAGCGTCATAAAATTATCTACAAAAGATAAAGGATTATGAAGGTGCTTTCTGTACCTAAGTGGTAACCATGTACCTAAACGTTCTCAAAATTATAGTTCGTTAAGATAGGTGTAATATATGCATAGGTAATACAAACTTTCTAACCACGAGAAAATCTCCAGTTGCTTATATTCCCTCGTCTCCAGCAAGTTATTAATGATCCAAATATAAAACTCCCAGCGCAATACTGGCTTCTATTAAAGCAACTGACGTGGTTGTAATGTGCGTAGAAAATGGAAATTCGTTGCATTAAATTTTTATCAAAAACACGGGAAAAATCTCTCACAGTCTACACACGGCATATAAAAAAGCGTTGTTTTTGTAAGCAGTCATTTTTATCGTGAGAGAGAAAGAGAGGGAGTAGCACTTATTAAAACGTGTCACGAACTTAATGGAACATCTCGTCCCTAGTTGACGCTGCTGCCGCCACAACCTCCGCGTTCATCCGCACAACTAAATAGGTCCTAAACAAGTGCGTATTGAAGTGGCCTAATTGATTTCACTTTGTCTGATCGTTTTAAGGTTGTGAAGCGTCAGGATCTTGTAAATATTTACAAAACCATTTCCCTCCACATTGAAAACACAATAAGACTCCATTACAAAGTGCATCTGGTTAATTTTCTTCAGGGCATAATTTCTGTTTATTCTGAGAATTGTGTGAAGTCCTGAATTAGACTCTGTACTCAACCTGCAGAGCGTCTGGATATTAAAGCAGGCGATACTTGCCGTATCCACTGTGCTTTAAAGGGTTAAACATGGGTGGATACAAGTATATGCTTTAGGAAGAAAAAGCGAAATGAGACTGACTACAGGGTTTCAATTCCAGACAGGATCGAATTTTCCTCTCTTCGGCACCAGATTCTGAACGACCCTGCGGCCTACGAAGCAAAAAATAAAATGAGTCCAGTGGCATCTCTCGACATTTTAGAACGGCCGAAGTCTGAAACTCTGCATTCCATTTCATCTGATTTGTCGATGTCTACAGTACTAACGGAACTGAGTTTCTCATAATGGGGGTTATGAAGAGTTCTGTATTCTGCGATATGAAGTCGTGTAGTCCGTTGAAAGCCAACCGATGTTTCGGAGGAACATACTCAACGAGATACGTAGAATTTTATCCCATAAGATAGAAACATTTACAACTAATACACTATACAGTTCCACAGAGGTATGGTTAGTCATAACTACAGGTCTACATTACCACCCTAAAACTCGTCATTGTGTAAATATACTGTCACAATTTATGAGTCTATGACTATAGACATGGTATGGATTGGAGAATGGATGGATCTACACTTTGCTGATCAGTGACGCACACAGACTATTACAGTCGATTACAGTCTTCACTCTCCGTTTCCTGACAACGGCTTCTGCCGAAGAATATGCTTCAGATTCCAGCACTCAGGTCCTCTTGTCACAACCGCTCGTGCAGAACTCCTGTCAACTTAACAATTCGACTAACTGGATCCCAGGTTAGCGACATTTTCACACCAAACACATAGTGTTCTCTTCACAAGCTGACTTTCAACTGAACCCTCTCACTCACCAACCTGCTACTTCACGTCATTTGACTCAACTGAAAAGCTGAGAAATATAATTGCAGGTCTACTGGTGTCCTCATTATATAACCTAGGCACGGGCCACATAGAAAACACCGCCATTTCCATTACTGTAATCCAACTGTTGCAGCTGCCAAGCAACGAGCTGCATAACACTGTTTCCGGCAGTAACTATATTGTTGTAGAGGTGTGTCTATCACGC